TTTTTAATTATTTTTTTTCTCTTCTTGTGGCTCTCTTCCCCTTTACGTTGCCCATCTCGTCTGCCCTGTTTGCTGCCAGACTTGCTCCTCACTCTTTCACTTTCCCAAAGCTAAAGGACCACTGTCGCCCACTTCAAGGTCTTCTTCTTAGAAACTTCATTTCCTTCACTTTTAATTATTGATTCGGTGCTCACGGACTTCCCCAGCCCCGTCCCTGCCCCTCACGCCTTCGCTGGCTGATGTCCCCTGTCCCTTTCTCTTCTCCCTGGGTGTCCCTCGGCTCGCCGGTCTTCTGTCTCCACGACAGCTGCCCAGCTTCATAAATAATGAGTGATACTTCAGTGGCCTATTTTGCCAGCCATTTTCTAGCCATAATTGCAGGTGGGCAGAAATCTGTCTTTTAGCTCTTGCTACATATCCTAAAAAATAAAAAATAAAAAATTTAAAAAATTAAAATGCTGCTTGAACTTCTAAAGATTTTGTACCTGTTTTAGCATTGCCATTTCCCACCTTTGCCCATCTGACATTCAGGTGATTTTACGAAATGGAGAGGCAGAAGGAGATGCACCCAGTTTGGATTGCTTGGATTTAAGGCACCGTAAAAAGTGAAATATTACTGCGTGCCCTCACAAGTTGGGACTTTCTACCACTGAAAATCTCCCATGCTAAATGTCCTAAGAAGATTAAGATCAACCCTTTTAATACTGCTTTTAGCTGAGCTTATTTGTAACCCTTTCAGAATATGTAGCACCTTGAGAGATGGCACGACAGGGCTGTTGTTATCACAAGCATTATGTACCCTTTACACAGTATTTTCTCAAATATTAAGACTTTCTCACCTGGCTTAGCACTTTTATGTTACTGATTAACTTGCATAAACCATAGTTTATAATTTTATTTTTTTTTAAGAGACTGCATTAATTCTGCCCCTTTGAGCAAGTCCTGTCTCTTTTCCACAACTCTTCTACTTTCTAATTGCATAGCTATATGTGTCTTCCTCCAAAGCCGAAATAACTGCGATTATCACCACGTATGATAAGTTTACGTATACTTAAAAAATTAAATTAAGTCACAGAAGACCATATGGGTCTCTTACTGAATTTCACTCAAATTCGAGAGATGAATATGCACTGAATAATGCAAAGGGCCAAATTCTGCTATTTCTTTTATTTTTTTTTAAATGTGTTTTCCATCACTGGTCAGGGATATGGGTATCCTGCAGCCCCAGAGAATGACTCCAGTTTAGCTGGTCTCCATGCACTCTCCTTCCAGTTCCAGCAATGGGTAAGGCTCGTGGGCTCAGGCCGAATTCACAAACCCCCTGAATAGCAGAACTGTTGCCATTGATCGTACAGAGGAGCATCATCGTGGTGCTATGAAGTTGCTTTTTTTGATCATTTTAGCCTGAAAAGAGGGATGTCAAGTCATCAATTAATCCTGACAGCATCCTTCTGTGGTGAAAAAATAATACTGTCACACCCATTTCATAAACAGAAAATCTAAGGCAGAGATAATGGAGGCTCAATAGCGGCGCTGCTGATACCACCACCCTCCCATTCCCCACTTCAAGGACGGTCTTGAAAGTTTTATTTCAGATTGCAAAGGGAAGTCGCTAAATCAGGCTGAAGCCTGGGCCGCGTTCCCGTACCCAGACCACTAAACCTCAGCCAGTTCTTAAGAGAGACTTCAAATGTCTCTCTTAAAACGTGTTTTAGACTCAAAAATAAAAAAATCCTGGGTAAAAAAATTTAGCGTGCAGTATCTAAACGTGGAGATTGAATGTCTCCAACGGCAGCGCTCTCGAGTCCGAGTATAGGTATGGTGCCTATGTCCAATTTGTGGCATTTACAGCTGGAGTTCGGTCATTCTGATGTTTTCATGTTCTTACGATGAAATTTAGAGCATCTTCATACCATGCCCAGTTCTTATTTTTCCTTTACCAGATGCATAACAAATCTAGTAAAAATACAAGAGCATTTCAAATACCTCAACTAAACAACAAAGCCAGACCCTGGAATCACATTAGCTTGATTTTTCCCCAAACATAATATCTTAAAAGAAAAGTTTGCATTTTAATATCAGGCTTTTATACAGTTTTGCAGTTCTTCTTAAGGAAATGGGGTATATATAATTAATACTGTTTAATAAAGCTCAAAAATGCAACAGATGCAGCCAAAAGTGCACGTCATTTTGAGCAGATCTTTACAGAACAGACATTCCATATTGTGTTCATCTTTTTCCATGATCACTGCTATGGCAATCTGGTGTGTTTAGCAGTTGTTGCTGAGTAAGGCAGACTGGATTGTATATGATTTTCTCCATGTCAGCCAAGAAACAGAGCTCTTTTCTTTTTGATGCAATAAAGAGGTGGTCTTGTACTATTTATTGTTTTCTACCAGGAGCAGCTATACCTTTACTAACTTGCAAGAATAATAATACATTGCAATCTGTAGGTGCACGTGCTAGAAGCTCTCCGTAGGTCTTAACTGAAAATAAAATGGTTGTGGTGTGGAAAAGTCACAGGAACTGATAAATTGAATAAGATGACCTCCCAAATAGAAAAGCTACAAGCGTCACAAAACGTGTCGTTAAAATCTGTGAGTATCCCATAAAAGCAAAATATTTTAAAAGGGGATATGGAAGGAGGATCACCTACAGCAGAAAACCCATAAGAGAGGCTCCAGTGCAGAGGAAACGTTTCCCCTTTCAGCATTCCTTCTGGGTGCCAAATTTTCCTTCTGTTCTTCCCCACCTATTAAACAAAGCTGCAACTTCCAATTCCTATCAGTTTTCCTAAATATGTGCAGCTTATGTGGCTTCGACGAGCTGTAAGGCTCCGTATTCTCCTGCCAGCTCCTTGACAATGTGGCTCCAACAGCATCCTCCACTTTTGGCTGCCTCTGGGACCCCTGGTCTCTTCTGGAAGGGGAGAGGGAAAGCATATCCTTTGCTGGAAGGACTTTTTGTGACTGCGAAGCCGATAGCGCGGCTGTGAAGAGCTTGGAAAGATCCCTGGAAGCGTCGCGGCTCTGTCTGTCGAGGCTGCCTGCTCTGTGTAACGGGGATGTTTCGGTCCACCTCGGGATGAGCTGTGCGTAGCTCAGCATCAGATACGGGGTGGGCCTCCCGGGGATCGCCTATAAAGCGCCCACAAAAGCCTGCCTAGGGGAAACTGAGGCTAGCGGGAAACATGATAATGAATGACACTGACTCCCGGCGCCAAAGGTATTTTCCTTGCAAACTTGCTCGTTTCCGATAGAGATGCTCCCTTCCAGCCAAGTCTGAATCCTCCATTGTAATCCCATTTTGGCTCTTTCAGCTGGGCATTTGGAGGGAACTAAAATACTGGGAACGTGTTTCTGCACGTAATTTACCTCGCAGAAACAGGTGACTATTTTAAGCGAGAGGATGCGAGCGAACTGGTAGGCAGTTCTGGGATCTTTGCAACTGGAAGAAATTCTCTCTCCGAGCCAGTGCTCGTATCCACTTCGGTTACTAGAGCCACCGTGAAAACTCCTGGTTCGCAGATGTGAAACAAATTACGACGCTTATGCAGTTGCATTCCTCCTTATTTTTGGGAACAAAACAAATCTGGGAGATGGAGGACTTCTTAAAGTAATTATTGTCTGGCTTTATTTTAAGAAAATGCAACTAATTCTGAAAACTCCACAATTCCTGAAGATTTCTCAGCCTAGGGTAGTCACATTAATTATAAGATTAATTTGTTTTAATTCCCTAAACCAAAAATATTGACTGAATGAGAAATTAACACATGTAGAGCTGCAGATGTCATTTGGCTTCAGATTTCCTGAATGATATAATTATTAATCTTTCATATAGCAGTGTGACAAACCTACAGATTCATTCTACAAAATTAGTCTGTGAAGAAAGACACCAGGACAGCTGAGCTATAGATTTTCCCTTAATACAGGAAGGAAAACAGTGGAATTTTCTAAATAATAAATAAAACCAAAATATTTTAAAGACATATGGTGCACATCTGTCTGAAATACAATAATTTAAAGCAGAGTAATTAAATGCAAGATGTAATATTCACCTTAGAGTGGGGGAATTATCTCATTTTAGTTCTAATATAACTTATCGAATTTGGGAAATTTAGGTCATCTGTGGTATCTTTCGAACCCTTCATTCTGTGCGAGTAAAGAAGATTGATTAGCAAATTGGCTTTTTATTTTCTTTTTACAGAACCAACGTTGTGTTTCAAGGCATTGAGTGTCATACCCATACAAACCTTTAATATTATCTTCAGCTGAAACTATAAATAAATACAGGTTTCTTATTTTCTGATTTAACTTCCAGTTAACTCCTTAAAAGTCTAAAGGCAGCAAATGCCTTGTGTTAGTTTATTCCTTTCTTCCTTACCTAAAGCACTGAATGGACCAGAAGCTTTTCACGAGTACAGCGTGGATTCATAAAATTCCAGTTTGGGAAATCCTATGGGTTTAGCAAAAGTTTTTGATTAACCTATTCCTCCTGAGAAAGGGGGTAAACTGTAATGGAGATTGTATACACGGTTTTTGAGAGGCAAAAAAAAAAAGTGTTTTTTCCTACCCTACCCTTTTTTTGACATGATTTTGCCTTCAGCTAGGTGAGATATTACTCAGTCCTTCTCACTTTCGGAGTTGGTAATTTGAAGAGTAAAGGCATCATTTGAAGACAGGGAAGAGAGATAAGGATCTGATGAAACTGAGTTTTGATCCCGAGTGCTGGGTTGAGGAAAACGTTCAACCATGTGGCGTAAGCAAAGAGGGGAATTATGCCGAAGACATTTAGTCCCCAAAAGTACCATTTAAGAGAAATACTGTTCTGATAAACAAAAAAACCCCACAATTCCACAAGTAAACGTAAGTGATGCTGAGATAAGTTCTGTTTGTTTCAAGGGAACATGACAAAGATCCTGAAA